TGATTACTATTTAACTTATTTGATATTTATTTAAGCACAGTCAACTACTATTATAATCACAATGTAAGAATATTTTGCAGATTAAAATAACTGATTTGTAAACATACAATTTATTTCCTTGGTTTTTTTGAAAGATACTAGAATAATAAACTGTACAATAAAAGATACAAAACATTTGTGCTTTTTTTAAATCTGAAATCTTTTCAGCTATTTTAACATCTAATTTATTTATGTCTATTTCCTTTTCTTTAACTATTCTTCTAAGTTCATTTGCTTTGATAAACAAATCAATGTTCCTGCTGGTCTCAGCTTCATCTGCTAAAGCATCTACTTCTTCATTAATATCTTTAATGTCCCTTAGAAAAAATTTTTTCTTCTGCTTCATATAATCAATTTCTTCCTCAATAATATTTCTTTTCCTCTTTGAATTTTCAGACTTAGTTAAAGATTTTTGTTCTTCTAAATACTGAACTTCTAAATAACGAACTCCACTTCTTGCAGAAGCTGCTGCTGATCTCATTTCTTTATTAATTTCGATATTGAGAACACCTCCAGAAAATTTTATGTAATCAAATACTGTGCGTTGAAAAATGTATGATGAGTCACTTAAATTTTCAATTTCAATTGCTTTATTTACAGAGAAGCCCCTTTCCACAGAGGCCTGTTGATGTGACAAGATAAGAATACTTGTCACAGTGAATACTTGAATAGTGAAAATATACATTTTTTACTATATATATATATAATTTATTTCCTAAACAATATTGATTAATTGATTATATTATCTCCTAAGTTTAATTAAAGTAGAATTATTTTAAAAGAGTGAATCCATACTGGTAAGTTATATTTTGAAAGATGTATATATATATATACAGTACAAAGTCCGAGATCCGGACATCCAATATCTGGAATGATCTAAAATCCGGACCTCAAAGCCACCACCAACCAATTTTTTAGGGCTTTTTTGAAGGGAAGGGGTATGCTTTACGCACGCGCATTAGATTTTTTTTCCTCATCATAAAAAAACATGTCGGAAATCCCGATTCTTAATCTCAGTTTGGTGCTAAATAAAATATCTTATTATTGAAGAATTATTATTTTAGCATAAATTTGTGTGATTAGTAACTTGACTCCATAGCTGCGTATCTGCTTGGCATAATCTCAAACCGAAACATTTGTTAATTTTACACCAACTAATATTTTATATCCTTGATGCCGAAATCGCGAATCATTATTTATTCTATTTTGCTTTCATCACCGTATGTTTATCAACGGATGACAACTTGAGTGATGAATCATGCAGCGACGCCAAATAACAGAGTATTATCCGATTACAGATTTAAGTTTAATGCGCTAAAATGTTGACAAGGGGAGATTTAGCAGAAATTTCTTTCCTTATACTAAAAATAGATTTTGTTAATGATACTCATAGGACAAACGATTATATTTAGTGCTATTTGAATTAAGAATAACTGATTTGTTATTCACATAAAGCCAGAACCAGCGCCAGATCTCGCATGGCTTCACCAGGCGGCAGAATTTAGCGAAGTGAAACAGAAGTTTTTCATTGCGATGACAATGCCCAATCATCAATCAATTAACGGAGGGGGAAATCTGTAGTATAGTTCTAAATCCAGAAAATACAGCTACCGATAGTGAAGAAAGTAACAGAGAGGTTACTGAACGAAAAAAAATTTTGATTGACAAGTTATTCGGAATTCTCGACACAGCAATTACAGGACTTGAACAATGGAACTTAACCCGTTCGTGACCAAGGTCGCGTGGACGCGACGCAGCGATTCCACTCTTATCAGCCCAGCGTCGCTTCCACGCGAAGAGCTCCGATTGATATGGAGAGACCAGCGTCGCGTATGCGTAATCGGAAATCGGAACGTTTTATTTGAATTTTTAAATGCTACTAGATGGCGTTAAACGGCAACGGTTTTCACAACGGTCGACTCATATGGTATTTGACCTTCATGAACGGGCATTGGTTTCTGTTCTATGCTTCTGTATTTCATATATTTATTGATGTAAACAAAGTGAGAATCACGGCTCTTTAAAGGGCTGGGATTTATTGCTCGCTGTGTTTATATTTTGACAGATTGTGGAAATTTATGGAACGTTTATTAGTTGAAATGTTGAATTGCGTTTGTCTTTTGAGGATTGACAGAGCGAGATTTCGAAATAGATGAATTAATCAAATAGTGAAATGGAAGAAAGAATTTCTTCTAGTTAATATAAACAAACTGGGAAACACGGGTGTTTGAAAGGGCACGTGTGAGTTCAAGTGACTTGTTTATTGCTTTGTTTTTTTCATTAGGAGAATATGGGGGAGTACATTCAGCGGATTAGCGGGATGAGTAATATTAGCCATATTATGAGTGCAAAATATGCAATGTTGGACTCTGTGTGGATCCTTGTTTTGAACTATATCACACACAGCAGAATTTTTAAATTTCGATTTTATTCAGAATATATTATTATTCTTAATTTCCTCTTTTTTTATTTTGTGTTTGTAATATTTGCAGCTTTGTTTTATTGTGTATAGTATTTGTTTTCATGTGCATAGTAATAATTTTAGTTTTTTGCATATTTCATTCATTTGTATTAACGTTATATTTTTTATTTTAATACATATTAAATAGAAGTATAGTATGTATATAATTTATAATTGGAGTCTTTTATTAAAATGCTGATTTTTAACGAATTTTTTTGTAAACTTAGGCTTAACTGCTTAAAATGCGCGGGCCGGTAGTGACGCTCCGTTTCAGAGCGTTCGGTCCCGTGACTGAGTTTTATTTCCGGCGCGCTGGTCCTCAAGGGGTTAATAACTGAACAAGAAATTACATGTCTATAATATTAGTCTAAAGTATTAGAAGAGAAAACAAATCAAACAACTCACATTGAAAGAAATGTTTAATAAAGTAAACATATAAATATTAAGCTCTTTTCTTTTGTAAATTTTGATACCCTTTAAATCATAAATGCTTCATTATTTCATAAATCACGATTTCATATTTTCAATTTTATAATTTCTACGTGCCATCTTAGTAGATTTAAAATGATCTAATATCCGGAAAAATCTCAAATCTGGGATCGCCGAAGTCCCGACGAGTCCAGACCTCGGACTTTGTACCGTATACATATATATATATATATATATACCGTATTATATATATATATATATATATATATATAATATGGAATGTATATTTTCAGTTAAACTTCTACCCAATAACTTTAGTAATTCATGAAAGTTAATTTTGCGTCTAGTTAATTCAGGAAAATTAGTTTCAATTAGTTGTTTTCAGCTTTAAAAATATTAAAAAAAATTTAATTAGTTATTTTCAACTAATAATTGTATCGCCATTAGCAAAAATTATGCATTACTATCAACAACATAGGTTTAAACCAAATACTTAATTGTCTATTGAAGCTTCAAAACGTATTTCCGAACTTCACTTTTTCTCGGCTAGCGTTACCGAATTTGCCCTTGGCGACCTAAAATCGAAATGGAGCCAACAGATTTCCCGCGAAATCGATAACAGACCCTCTGCAGAAATAAACTCATAATCCCGATATCCCATACATATAGTATGTGCAAAAGAGAATAAACTCCGTAGAAGGTGATAAATTAATTTATGGCTTAATTGAAACAAACACAGAAATTAAGCTAAGCAAAACCGTGTAAAAACAAATTGAAATGATAAAACGAAACTTAATTTTCATGTGAATTTTCAGCGCTGCTGACTCTCCCATTCTAGAAATTTCAATTTGTTTCAGACAAAGACCACATTTAAGGATTGCCATCCATCAATATCCAGTCTTTGTAGTCAGCTTGATGAAGCCACAGTTTATTGAAAATGCACTTTTCCAGGCATCTCGTTCCTATTGGCGTCGGAAGGGTTGTGGCCTTCCAGGTTGGAATTGCTCTAATTTTGGCAAATATTTTCAGAATCTCCCCCCCCCTTTTTTTTTTTTTTCTCGAGCACCTTCATCATCACTTTCGCCTCTTAAAGAACTTCCGGCTTCACGCTTTCGTCACAATCTGCCTAAATTTATGGATAACACCTGTTTCGAAAGACTGGGTGAATAGCCAATCAGACACCGATACTTTCGTTCGAGTAGCTAATTGTTTTTTTTTTTTTTTTTATCGTTTGCAACGCAAATCCGCCAACAGATTGGTTAAGAGCCGTGTAATTTTAATTCCATATTCATGAGAAATCGTAATTCACACTTAGAATGGCAATCATTAGAGATGATAAGAAATGTCAAATGAGCAAAATTAAGGACTGTTTATTCATTTTGGCCAAAATTAAGGACTTTTAAGAACCAAAAATCATTTTTGAAAAAATTAAGGACTAAGGACCCTACGAACCCTGAACCTAGTGTAAATCTATTAAAATTGTTTAGCAATAAGCATGGAAAAATTACTTAAGTCATTGAATTTGTTGCTGTCTCAAAGAATGCTAAGACATGGATTTAAAATAATAATAATAATTGCTCATTCATCAAAGTGTAATGAACTTTGTACTAATTTCCCTTCTTGAACCTATATGCACCATAAAAAATTATTTTATAATTACAAAACATTCCCCTCCTCAATGCTAAACATGTTTTCATGAAATTCTTGCCTTTTATTTGAAAAGTCAAACATTTTCACTACAAAAAGTGAAATCTAGGATCAATGTTTAAAGATAAAAGACCTGCAACCACCATTTCTTTAGACATCCTGAATACATAATAATTCTGGAAAAACTTCAACAGGAGTGACTGCAGAATATAAAATAATCTACATGACAGCATAACCTATATGCCTGAAAAAAACCAACATGTCATCTTTCATTCAAATTCATTGGTATCTAATAATATATTTTATGTAGTATATTTTAATGTGTAATCACAGAAATCTTGTATCATTAAAAACTTTTTGAATGCCCAACTAAAGCAGAAATTATTTCATAAAGAAATCAAACTTCTAATTTCATTTTTTTCAGATTTTATGTTCTGATGTTGACCAGAGATTGTGCAGTGTGGATAGGATGAGAAAACATCCTTATTTAAAAAGCATTGATTTTAATCACATATATGAAGAAGAAATCATGAAGACTGTAAATCAAATCAATGAATAAATGTGTTAGTTAATTTTAATCAGAATAATCATTATTTGCTTTGAGTGAAAATAATAAGTATACTTGCTATAAATTTCATTTACATCAAATGTACAAATCACATACAAAAAGTCATTTTTTGTATTTTAGATACACCAATATGTATAAATAACACTTCTTTGAATTTCTAACTGAAAGTGAAGTGCAAATGAATGCCAAGTATCCAGACCTAATTGAGACTAATTGAGACCAATGTCTGGTCAACTGACTTACTAAAAATCAGATTACTCATAAAGTTTTTTTTTTTTTTTTTTTTTTTTTTTTTTTTTTGTAGTCCATCTAAGTAATTAACAAGAAAGAAAGAATCCTTCATAGATTCCTTCCGATACGAAATTTAAATAGTTAGGCAAGGAAATATTTTTATTTCCTAATAAAGCAAATTATGAAATAAAAATTCTTGATAAAATTTTAAATTATTTTTTAATTTAAATTTTGTCAAGAATTTTCACTTCTCAAGGAATTATTTTTTTAATTTAAATTTTGTTGAGATAAAATTAAAATAATTATTTTTGCAAGGTTTTATTCAAGTTGTTTATCCATATCATGCTTTGGTTGATGTCTTAAAATTAATTTTTAATTAATATCTATTAAATCATTTTCTTCAAAGTTTGCCCACATACTTGCGAGAATACATCTGCAATGACTATTTTTTACAGAACCTATACCCTTGCTTACTGATGAAATTAATCATTGAAGAATTTCAGGATTTGCGCCACTACATAGTTCAGGAAATAATCTTTCCATATTAGTTTTTTTGGAATCTCTAATTTTCTTTTTTATGACTTTTATGAACTTATGAATTTATGATTTTTAAAGACTTTTCCAAGCTCAATCAAGATCTAAATCATAAAATCATAATGCTGTAAATGATGAGTTTTAAAAAAATGTTGAAAGAGAAATTGAAATGTACTGGGATACTTACAAAACTAGATTAAAAAAAACACATCAAATGAAGAATGATATCAAACATTTAGTTGCTACATTAATTAAAGATACAGACTAACAGATGAGATTCCACTGACCTGCAATGTTATGTTTGGGAAAATATTACCAATTTGCAAATTTACAGTCTGACAGGCGGCAGACTAGGCAAGGAAGTAGGAAGCCATAGTCAACAGCCGACACTCGGGAGGACACACACACAACAAGGTTGTTATAAGTTTAGTGACTCTTATAAATAATTTGTTATATCTGAAATTATTTTTTTTCTTTACATTACATAAAAGAAATATCTCACACATAAGATAGACAATACCTCAGACCTAGATTAAAACAGATGTAAAGACGTCATATTCATTTAAGAATTAGGGCTTTAGTAATTTAAAATTATATCAATTGGATCAACATTCAGACATGCTTGAATGTGAATTTGAATTTGCTTTTTCTTTACATGTTTCAGATATCTAAATAATAATTATAATATTCAGAGACTTTTAAGAACACTCCTTTTAAGAAAAAGTTCTTGAAACTTAGATATGCTAATTTAAAATTGGGCTGTTCAAAATACATAATATTTTATTAGAAATTTACCTAAATTTGCCACGTTATCCCTCCAAAAATCTCCTGAGAAAATCAAGGCTTTTGCACAGTGTTAGTAATTTGCTGTTCTTAAAATGCTCACAAATTTAAGACACAGGATCAAGTAATTTTACACGTGTATACACTTATTATGCTAAATTTGTCGATGAGACTTTCCAAATATTGCAATTTCTACATCAGTTGATACTAAGCAAAATATAAGCTCTGGAGGATTTAAAAGAACATAGGGTTCTTTTAAGACATTAAAAAACAGCCCAACAAGTGTGATCAAAAATGCATCTTCATATTTGATGCAAATAGCATCATAGTCGTCAAAAGCATAGTCTTCAGCAAGAGATGTGTGATCAATGATGTCATTGCCTGGTCCAACAGTAGATTCACAAAGCCTTAACAAAACCACTGAGTAAACAGAAAGAAACTAATAAACATTATCATAATATATCCAATCATTCCATCACAAATACAACTTTCTGTTACTAAAAGATCATGTCTCAATACAGTTCATTAATTCATTTCAAATATCCTAAGATAACCAGATAAATTTAATGACTATAATATGACATGGCAGCTCACCAGCATAAAGGATTTTCATACAGGAATATTGAATACTTATTGAAAAACTATAGACACATAAGTGCAAACACTACTACAGTCAAGAAAGTTACTAGACTTATGAACATCTACCCTGGGCCTACTTTACATCTTATGGAGCAATGAATATGTAAAGAAGACCCATAGTGAATATGAAGGTTTAAGGCTAATAAAGAGAATTTTTAGAAATAGCTGACAAAAGATCTAGCTGGAAAGGAGGCCACTGAATGTTTAAGGATAATTTCACCAAAAATAAAGCCTTATCTCATTCCAACCATGCTTCAAATACTACTGAATGCTGGTACATATCTAGATTTTCCAAACTGGAACATTCTCTCTCATATAAGATTACAAATTTCACTTCTGCTATGTTCAAATGACTACATAAAGTTCCTGTTTCAGAAACTCCCATAATATCTTCTATAATAATCTTCTTTCAGCATTAAAAACTTCTACAATATACAATTACCTCTCATTAAACCATCTATGTTCCTGTTAACAGAAAACAATGTCACTCAGAAAAGTACTTGATTTATACTATCAAATATGACCTTCTTTTATATTTCTCTTGCTCCAACTTTTAAAATTGTTTTTCAAGTAGTGTTTCATAATCATAACTGTTTTTATACTATGCTATTAAAAATATAAACAAAAATAGCTTTCATAAATGCAAGCATATCAACAACCTGGAATAATAATAATAATAATAAACAAAAATGAGAAAAATTCCAAAGAAAAATATTCTTCCCTTAGGAAATAAAAAGGACACAAATAGTAATGATAAACACAAGATAAATCATTTAAAATATTTTAATATATTTTCACAAAACTTCATAATTACATTTTAATATAGATGGGTATTGTTATTGATTTTGCACAAGATGAAAACTAGTAAATTTTACAATCAAATATGTGTGTTGCTACTCTTATATCCATAAACTAAATAAAGACTGAAATCTAATCAATACATATGATTATCAAAGTGACAGAAAAAGGAGTAGCAAAATTTTAAAGTCAATATACTTTCGTAACAGCAAAAATAAATATTTTCTGGTAACAATAATGCCTAGGCATATGTAATCTATGTCATCCTTAGGCAAATAAAAACTGATTAGGACTGCTACAAAATCAATTTACATCTCTATATTTGATTCCAGAGTATTTTGTGTAATTACCAAAACAGAAAACCTTATTAATTATTTTATAGCTTTCATGAAACTTTTGCAGCTTTACTCCTCCAGCTTTAGCAAAGGTAATATCTAATAAGAAAATGAGAGGAGTACAAAGAGATTTTAATATCTGGAGAAAATTTTAAAACTGTGCCTTTCAATTATCATGTTCATATAAGTCATTATATTTTAATTTTATACACACATTCATTCTTTTACATCAAGCAAGTACCTCACTTATCCCACATTTCACAGAACTTTTTAAGATATGCTTAATAATTTTTAAATGTGCATTTGAAATGTTATTTGCATAAAGTTCAACACTAACAAAAACTATTTGTTTCCTTACAATTAAGATTTCCATTTTTCTTTCCTACTGAGAAGCTTCAAAATAAATTTCACATTTATTGTCAAAGAATCTGTAATCTAAACATTTGAACTTTTCAGAATCAAAATTTTTAAATCACAGATTTGGTATACATAATTTTGGAAACATAAAAGACATACTGCATTTCATTTTAGTATCATATTTAATGGATCTATCTTTTTTTTTTTTTTTGGCCTAGTTAGTGAATTTCCATTAGTAAAATGTATAGTACATTTATGTTGCCATGTTGGCTTCTTCTAATGACACTCAACTTTTTGTGGTAAAATATAGAAAAAAAGACTCTTCAAAGATTATGTTATCAAATGTCTTATAAAATTAATAAACAGTACCAGAAAAATAAATTTTTATCTTAATATCACATTATAAAACAACTAAAGCTTTAGCATAAAAAGTATTGTGTTAATCGCATTTTTATCACAATAAAATTTTTGTAAATAAAACTTAATAGTTACAGAAGTCACCATTATGCATTAAAATAATAATAATAATGAAGAATGTTTAATGTCATACAAAAGTAAATTAATAAACATACAATTGCTAGTTTACACTTAAAAACAATCATTAAGAATACTCTAAATAAACTCAAATGACTAAATATTTCCAATTACAAATTCTGTTCAATTTGAATACTTTATAAAATACAACTTCCCCTTTTTCTTCCTATAACTTATTTATTAATCATAAATATGCATTTTTAAACACACATTGTAAGAACTAAAACTAAACAACAAAGACAGCATAAATTTGAAATTTCTGTTTCGTAAATAATAAATTCTCAACTTTTTAATTATTGGAAAAGAATGAAGTTATAAATTTAAAATATCTATAATCCTAAAATAAAATTTTGAGTCTGCATTTGTTCCCACAGATAATAAAGTTGATATCAGACTTGGGGGGGGGAAGGGGGTTAACCTGTTACTTATAACAATCTGCATTAGGTTGCTGTAATTACCATTACAAGTGAATACAAAGAAAGAAGTAAAGGGAGGAAACAGTTTATAAAATTAATCATTATTTGTGATTAAAGCTGCTTTTCATGAAGATCAATATCAACGTGGCAGAAAAAAAAAATATGGTTAAATTTGAAAATATGGATTATTTTAGACTAGCAGACAATTTTTTATTGGAAAACTGTTAAGTAGTTTAGTGCAGAATAAATTTTTGCAGAAGAAAAAAATGTAGTTGATGTGAGAAAATTATCGCACTATGATTTTCTACGATTTTAAAGCAGGATTAAATCAAGAAGAATGCAATCAATGTCTACAGTTAGCATCTGGAAATGAAGGTTTATCTTGTGCTACTGTATTCAGATGGTTTACAGAATTTCATAGAGGACGCAACCTCTTTGGAATGAAGAACATGCAGGAAAGCCGTTGTCAGCAGTAATCCTGGATAATGTGTCTGTCATATGGAAAATGTTGATGATAATCACTGCACCTACCGAATGATACAAAAGGAACTTAACACTGGATCCACCACCATACGCAACATTACTCATTAATTACATATGAAAAAACTAGTTTGCCACTGGCTTCTCCATAATTTAACTGAATAGAAAAAAAAAAAAAAAAAAAGAGCATGTCAGAATCACTGAAGAAACCCTTAAATTACTTACAGAAAGTGGGCACTGCATTATTTCTAAAATTGTAACTGGTGGTGAAACTCACAAATTATTGTTATTTTTTTTTTTTTTTTTTAAACATTCTAACACATCAAGAAATTAAAAGTATGGGTTTTCGAAGATTATCCCATGCCCACAATAATGAAAAGACAATGTGCGATAAAAAAATAATGCACGCTGTTTTCTTCAAAAGTACAGGACTGGTCAAAGCCATCAAGCTAGAAGGACAAAAGACAGTTACAGCTAACTGGTACACCACTGCCTTTCAGAATTCTTCAAAAAGGGAAGGATAGAGGACTCATGCTCCATCACAACAATGTATCTTCTCATTCAGCAAGACTGACAGTTGAGTTCCTTGAACAAAAACACATCAAAGTGATAGAATATTAACCCTATCCACCTGATTTAGCCATGTGTGACTGTTATAATCTAAAAAAGAAATTATGTGGATATCGTTTTCATTCCACAGATAAGATTGATGAGTCTATAGATGCATTTTTTTTTTCATCAATTCCAATAAATGAATGGCTTGAAGCATTTAATCGTTGGAAAATTTGCTTATAGAAGTGCACTGATGCTGAAGGAGACACTCCTAACATTTTGTAAGTATAATTTTAAAAACCTATATGTATCTCAAAAATTTCAGACTGGCCCTCGTAAATAAATAAACAAAAATAAAACAAATTAAATTATTAATTTTATGCTCACTAGCATTTATTATGGAAACCATTACAGTGAAATCAAAATCATAGTTAAGACCATGCTAAAACAAAAAGACATTACAACAAAAAAATTTCATAAATACAGCTCTGAGTGCCTAAATCTTAAGAATTTTATCTGTACTGTTAATTTCAGCATGATAAAAAAATTCTTGTAACATAATTTTAATAAAAAATCTTTGTTTGTGTTTATCTTTATACACATAAACACACAACTTTAAGCTTCTTAACTGCATAATTAAACTTATCAGTTACAATTATCATTTAGATTTTAAATCTGCATTATATATTAGCAAGACACATTGATAAAAATATGCAAAATCTCTAGCATGCATAATCTTGTGAACAACATAATTTTACCTTTAATTGCACAAATGATAAATTCCTTTTAATATCAGAACTGATGAAAAGAGAATTAACACAAAATAATACATTTTGTACAAAATGAAGGCAATTTTGCATAAGTGTCCCCCATTTTATGAATTATTTTCACTGGCATGAGCATGAGCTTCTTCTGGACCATACAAATGTCCTAAATTCCTAGCTATGTAATTCCAGTATTCTTTCCTAATTGTATCATGCTTGCTTGCTAATGCTTCACAAAGCTACAAATGAATGAGATTGTCATAATAAATACAAATGTAGATTTCAATACATACATCATACAAGATGAGAGCTACTGCACCATAAAAATTAGCACACAAAAGGAGATTTATAAATTAAATTAGATTTTATACAAAAATTTAAATACACATTTTCTGAGATTTAATAGTGATAATACATGATCACTAGAAATGATGTTGTTAAAACTAATTATAATATATGGAAATGAGAATTTATGTGAAATTTAATTAAAATGCTAAAATTTTCATAAAATCTTTAAAATATCCCCATGAAACAAAAATAAAAAATAATACATAGTAAATAATATAAAAATTTATATACCTTGCCTTGCATAGACTGACAAATATAGCTAAAAAGATTATTTTAAACATGTCTTCCTCCCCCCCCCAGAACAGCGTACTTAAAACAATCTTTGTTCTATTAATAATCATTGTTTTACTCCTAATAAAAAGTATATGAAAAGAATTCGTGACAAAAATTTATATATCACTTAATTTAGAAATATTATTACTACTTTTGCATAATTTATAATGCATTATTTTGTGCATTTGTCTCATGAGGATATTAAAAATTTTATGTATTAAATAGAGACCTAAAATTGTTTCAAATTGTCACACAAAACCTTATTATCGAAAAAGTCAATATGGTGATTTCATCAACCAGGGCATTTTGATCGCCAGATCAATTTGTTATTTCCATGGGGGTAGGACATATATGTCCCGAGTTAAGTGTCCAGCAACTGAGGGCTCGGGACAGTTTTTTATTGGTCGCATGGGTAGGAATTCTAGGACTTGAGGTGCTTGAAAACTATTTTACAAACCATGGAGAGTGTGCTCTTTTGTGAGATTCCACTAATCGGAAGGGGAAATCATTTGTAAAGTGAATCCACCACGGCTTATTTTTACTATTAAAAATTTGAGTCCTCCAAATAGATTCTCATATATATGTAAATTATCAGTTGGAAATACTCTTAACATTCTAAGTTACATTACTGAAACATAAATAAATCTGATGTATGCAGAAAAAATTGGCTTGGAGTTCAAATATAAAAAAAATTTTATTTTCAGACATTCATCTAAAAAAATTATTTAAAATTACTTAAAAATAGTGACCACTGCATTATTTCTAAAATTGTAACTGGTGATGAAATGCACAATTAAATTAATTCATCCTTCAATTTCATTAGAGATATACAGTCCAAGATCCAGACTCATAGGGACTTCGGCAATTCCTGTTTGGGGATTTTTCTAGATATTAGATCATCAGTTTAAATGTAGTAAAATGGCATGTAGAAATATTAAAATTAAAGATATGAAATCGTGATTTATGAAATAATAAAGCATTTATGATCTAAACGGTATCAAAATTTGCACAAAGAAAAGGGTTAATATTTATTTGTTTACTTTATTAAACATTTCCTTCAATGTAAATTGTTAAAGTTGCTTCAATTTTTGTGCTAATACTTTCTCTTTAATTCTATAGAAAGACATAATTTCTTGTTCAGTTATAAAGTTCCAGAGTTCAAGTCCAGTAGCTGCTGTGTTAAGAATTTCGACTAACTTGTCAATCGAAATTTTTCCATTTTCAAAAACCTCTCTGTCACTTCCTTCACTATCAGTAGCAGTATTTTCTGAATTTAGAACCACACTACAGACTTTGCTTTCTTTTGACTGATGACTGGAACATTGGCATCACAATGAAAAACTTCTGTGATATCATCTTTATTTATTACCGCTTTTCCACATTTCTTTACAAAATCCATTAACTGGAAAATTTCACCTGTGGTTTGCGATATCCAAAAACCTTCAGATTTACAGCTATCATCTTCATCACCCTCACCATGAAAATACCATAGCTGGCTATAAATTATGCCAAGCATTTTTTAAAGTATCTGGAGGCACATCCTTCAACGATCTTGCGATGCTCCACAGAGCAGACTAATGCTAAAATATTTGAAAATATGCTAAAATATTTGAAAAATTCTTGAATAGTCTTGCCATTATTCAAAAAATTTAACATGGATTTTAAAAATATTGCTTTATATTTGAATATGATAGTGATAATAGTATGATACTTTATATTTGATATGAATGTTTTGGCCTATGAGTATCAATAACAAAATCTATTTTTAGCACATAAGAAAGAAATTTTTCTTAAATTTTTCCTTGCCAACATTAAGCACATTTAAATTAAATCTGTAATCATGCTAAGCATAATGTCAACATAAAAGGTTTCCATACTCTTTGTTATTCATTTACTAATGTAAAACAAAATGTTTAGGCATTGCTGCATGAGTCATTACTCAAGTTGTCATATGTTGACAACATGCAGTGATGAAAGCAAAATATAATAAATAATGATTTGCCAGATTGGTGTCAGGGGTATAAAATATTAGTAGTTGTGATATCAATGATGTTTCTATATATAATGTTTGGATTTGAGATGTATGCCAAGCAGATACGCAGCAACGGAGCCAAATTATTGACCACACAGATCTATGCTAAAATAATTGTTTCTTCAATAACAAGGTATTTTATTTAGCGCTGAAGTGAAATTAAGAATCAGGATTCTTCCCGTGTTTTATTATAAGCATCTATGATCTAAAGGGTATCAAAATTCATAAAAAAACTTATTATTTATCTGTTTACTTTATTAAACATTTCTTTGAATGTAAATTGTTTAAGTTGCTTCCTTTTTTTGTGCTTATACTTTCTCTTCAATTCTGTAGACAGTCATAATTTCTTGTTCAGTTACAAAGTTCCACTGTTCAAGTCCTGTAGTTGGTGTGTCGAGAATTCCAACTAACTTGTCAATCGAATTTTTTTCATTTTCAATAACCTCTCAACTATCGGTAATGGTATTTTCTGGATCTAGAAACACACTACAGATTTTGTCATCCGTTAATTGACTGATAATTGGAACATTGGCATTGCAACAAAAAATTTCTGTTATATCATCTTCACATTTCTTTACACAATCCATTAATTGGAAAAGCAGATACGCACCTAAGGAGTCAAATTATTGATTACACAAATTTATGCTAAAATGATTGCTTCTTCAATAACGAGGCATTTTTATTCAATACCGAAGTGATATTAAGAATCGGGATTCTCCACATGCTATCTTACGGCGGGAAGAGGAATCAAACGCGCATGCATAAAGCATTAAAAAAATTCCTTAAAAAAATTTATTGGTGGCGTTAAGGCCTGGATTTTAGATCATTCCGGATATTAGACGTCCAGATTCTCAGACTTTGTACAGTATCTGGTTGCAAAGAAAGTTACCCCAATAATGGACATGGTCAAAAACATTTCTTAATTAAGTTATAAAAAAACATGAAAGCAGTACCTTTAGTTCAGATAGTAATCACAATCAATATCTATTATTTTCTGCCAACATTAGTTTTTCAAAGCCTTTAGACCCAGAAACTTGGTGCCCACAAGTCCAAAAACAGACCAACCTCACTTCGGACATCCTGTGCAGAGGAAGATAGCACTAGCAAGATGTAACTGCAGGTATGAAAAAAAGGTAGAAGTCTGAAGAAGTAATGTCGGGGCTATATGATGGGTGTGGCAAAAGATCAAATTCCAGTCCGTACACAGTCTGGCTGGTGAATGCAGACACATGTGGTCTTGCATTATCTTGATATAACATTTTTCTTGTGCTGGAACTCAATTCATTGTTTTTCCTTGATAGCAGCAGCATCAACACAGACTAGCAGCTCGCTGTACACCTTACTATCGAGAGTTTTACCTTTTTCCAGATACTCTTTGTGGATAATATCATGACAATCCCACCACATACAAAGGATGATCTTTTTGTTAGTAAAATTGTGCTTTGTGACGCTGACCACGGGTTCAGCGGGCACACACCAGCCCCGTTTTCGGCCTGTGTTGTTGAAGTAAATCCACTTTTAATCATAAGTGATGATCTGATCCAGAATTGTGTCCTTACATTGATATTCGAGCAGATTCGTTGTAGGCCCGAACACTTCTGTCTTTATCTGCTTGATTCAGTTCATACAGCATGCAGCAATCTAACTTGGACTTTAAGTTTATGCGATGCATAGAGCAAATAATGGACATGGCACTAACATCTAACTCCTTAGCACACTATCAAGTGGTTGCAAACTGATCATGCTGTCGCTGACGATGAAGCTGTCGCAGGCGGGCATCATTAACATCAGTGGGTTGGCCAAAGCGGGCATCATTAACATCAGTGGGTTGGCCAAAGCAATCTGCTTCTTGAATGTCATAATCTTTAATTTTGAACTTTCAGTACGAAACCTTCACAGTATAATATGATACAGCATTAATATCTAAAGCTATACATATGATTTAGTGGCATTATGTAGTTGATTTTTTTTTTTTAACAGAACTGAAAGTAAATCATGGTTCTAATCTGGTAGCATGATAGTTCCATTTCAGACACCATGTATCTAATGATAACGATGTTTCTTTCACAAATCTCACAACAAAGTGTTCAAAGCTAGTCCTTTTCAAGTGGCAAAAATCATTTGACAAAATATAATTAAACACACCAACATGAACTGTTTGTGTAGACAATATTTGCAATGGCACAAAACTTTCATGAAAACCTGATAAAAAAAGCTTATGTGCAACAATGAGCTGATTATGGATTACAATTCTAAAATACCACAAGAATAAGAGAGAGAGAACTTCTTGTCATAGTTTAAATTTAATCCAAATTTCATAGTTCCTTATCTTAAATTGATTATACCTGGTATAACAACTTTCCATAGAACAACAATTCATAATAATGAAAGATACACAAGTGCTATGCTTTGAATACATGAGCACTTAAATTCAAATACAACAGAATATTGTTGCGTTTTTCTTTTTCTGACACCATTTGTTATGTTATTTTCTTCCCTCATGTTCGTACGGGGTTCATATGGATTTGGAGTGAATAATGACGACACTACTTGATGAAGTATCGAAAGACACGTTATTAGCCAGTATTGTCAGGACAGCTCCAAAACATGTTTTACAGTCGTCAATGAACTCTACTATAAACACGCTGACATGATCAGCAACACAGCTTTCAGGTTATTAAGCTATCACGGTGGAGACAGCTTCACTGCAAAGCACCAGAGTACAGCTCCCAAATCTGCTCGGTCATTCTTGGAACTCCACGTACTCTCGAGACTCTCCACACAACAACTCGTGATGCATTCGACGACACATAGAGCACAGCTCCCAACTCTTCGGTTCAGTCGTTCCCGGAGCTCAACACGCTCTCTCGACAATGCACTAACCAAGATACACTACGAGACTCTTTCGGTGCACTCGACAACCCACTCGGCACTCACTGCCCGGCTGTCAACTCGATCAACTCCGCAGGGATTGACTCGCTAGACGAGACACCAACTCGATACTAACTCCCACTCTATAAGAGGCACACACTCTCGTCCTCTCGACGAGGCACACTAACTGACAGCGGACCAGCAGCGTAGATTTCGGCTTGTGTTCGAGAACATTCTGGGCTAAAACGGTCAGAATTCGTCCCAGAAGGTTCTCCATCCGTCCATGGCATATCGACAATTTTATCGTCAAATGTTGCAACCCTGCCTTCCCTTGCCTTAAAAACCTGCTTTTTGGGGAAGCTATCTTACGACGCCTGTATATTTCGTAACAATATTTTTAAGAAAAACTGTTGATAAGTACTTTAATATTTTACAAGAATTTGGAAGTATTTTCCAAAATAAAGATTTTACAATCTTCAGCTCAGAAAATACAGAATGTATTTAAAAATAAAATAAAACCATACTTACATCTATTGCTTTCTGGAACAATTCAGGATTTGGATCACTGAGCAGGGATTCCTCAATACAATCTATGATGTAACCAAGCAAATGTGGAGACCTACAACCTGAATTATACAGGTTCTCTGTAAATTCCATAACAGCTGAAAACTTTGATAATCCTTTATCTTGCAAAATTCTGGAATAGAGAAATAAAATTTCACTTACAATTTTTTATCTGCTTCTGCAGTTAAATTAAGAGTTCAAAACTAACAATGCTATTATTTTTTTCCTATAACAAAAAATGTAAGAGGTCATTTCTTATGCTATCACTCTCTATTATCGAATAAAGAAGGACAGCCATGGTATATATATGAATATATGTTTCTTACATTGTAGAAGACCGGTGGCACCTAGACATACCCTAATTTTGAACATTTGTAGTCCTCCAAGCAAAGGTGTCCATTCATTTTCAATTTTGTAACTTTTATTTATTTCATATTTTGTGAGAATTTAATGATATTTTGATTAGCAAACTTGACAATTTAAAAGCAATATATTTCCTCTCAGTAAAACTGCAGAGGAGTTGTGCTTTAGTTGTCATAGTTCCTTGTTTTGGATTTTGGCAGTCTCATGACACTATCTATAATTAGTATTGTGAACAAACTGCTCTCTGGTCTACTCAGTTCAGTATAAATGGTAATGTTTAGACCTTGTCTGTTTTGCTTCAATGACAGGTAGAGAGCTCAAGAACCTGACTACTAGGCCTCATGCCTAATCAATTATGTCAAAACAGCAAGCTGAACATGAAGGAATTTAAGGTGCGTCTTTTTGGCAATGTGAGTACAGGGCCACAAAGCCTTCAACGCTGCTGTGAAGCAACTTGTTTGTGTGTGAGAAACAGCATCATAGTAAGGTCACTATTGCAGTAGTGTTGAGTTGTTACTGCCACTAGTTGTTTTAAGGCCTGGCTGATCTCATAATGAATAAAGATATTTTATTTCTAGATTTGTTTGCTTGCATTTATTGATGCTTCAGGATGTATCTTGCTAGTTGTATACCACTGTGTTATTCACCACCTTTTTATTTGCACCCAAGTTCCTCTCCCTCCCTTTAATTACACCAGTCTCAATATACATGCCTCGGAATTTAATTCCTTATAATATGACATCATATTCCCTCCAAATGTCAGCCTCCAGTAATTCATTAGCTAATACAATGATCAATATAGACTCAATAAGCACACCTCACAAAACCCTACTCTACCTTCCTTCCCCACTTTGCCAGAGTACAATGCATATGTAGACAAACTGTACAATACTTGCGCTGAGTTCATCCACACTGAAATATTGGGAAACAACTTCTCCTAAATTAAAGTGAAACTTGAAGAAATTAAAAGTGCACTGGAAAAACTATCGAAAACTTGAAATCATATCCCAGCACAGCTGCTACAGTTGCTTTTCCAACCCCAGAAGAATCATAGAACTCAACAGCATTTAACCTATGACAACTTATCAATCCTCACTACAGTGTGCATAAGCCCTCAAAAGACTGCCTAACTAGTGCTATTTGTTTACTCAAAAGGTGGACAAACACATGAGTAGCTGCGGGTTGAACTCGCAAACACAGTGTTAATTCACAGTCTGGGGATCAGTCACAACAGTTAGACTCATCCAGAAACAAGATTTTGCTGTGCAATGTAACACAACAGAAGATATAAAGAAGTTGGAAACAAAGCTAAAAGAAAAGGCATTAATACTCACACAAACCAAATTCCCTGTAGAAAGATTGCCCCAATTCACAACGTCAACCCTAGACTACAAAAAGAAAACACAGAAATTCTCCTTTCTTCCAAACTTAATATAACCAACGAAGCTAGCAGGATAATTTACAGACTGAAAACAAAGAAAAAAATGTCAAGTGGATTGTGGAATCTCACCTAGTAGCATTCAGTACCATCACACGGCAATGCCATATATATCTTCATTGGATGCAGCCATGCTTCAGACAGCAATCACAAAACAGGCAGCTTCTTCATGACAAATCATTCATCTTACTCTATCATGTTATATCAGAACAATGTGCGGTTATGGCGTATCACAGCATACAAATATTGCCACTAGAACAAGTGGGGAAAATGATTACATTAGAAGTGTCCAAATATGCCTATAATGGGTGTGAATAGTTAGTCGCCTATGCAATTAAAAAAAGCAGATGTAATCTTAGTGCAAGAGCTATATCATAGAAGTGGCAAAGTCTGCAGTGCATCAATAATGCCTTGGACCAAGAACCAAGGACAGCCATGGTAGAGTGTAAACATGTAGCCATACTTCTGGAATTAAACCATCTTACAATAGCCACGATCTCAGTTTACTACCATCCTTTAGAAGAAATAGATGCTGCTCTTTATTTCATTAATAATCTTAATGCAATAGGCTCAATTTCTTCAAATGTCTATGCAAGAGACTGCAATGCACAGAGTATAAGTTGGGATATTCAGTTACCTTACCTATACAAAAGTTCAACAAGTCGAGGACTACATAGCTGCTAATAACCAGATGCTGCATAACACCACAGGAGCTGCATCATATATTGCACATAATGGCAGAGGCTGGCTAGTTCTTACCATTTCCACACAGCAGGCCAGCAACTTCATTCAAGACTGGACAATAGATAAAGAAAATAATCTCTTTGAACATAACTACATTAACTTCAAAATAAATCGTTCCACTTCTGCAACCATACTCAAAAGCTACAAACACCCAGGAAGCAACATTAATATCTTCAGCTGTTGCATTCATCAAAATCTTTCCACAATCATGCCAGATCTACAAGCAAACACAATGAGAGAAGCTCTAGACACACACACACAAAATACATGTGCAGAAATACTCTCAAACTAGTGGACCAAGGATCTCTGAACACAGACAAATGCAGAGCAGTATACCACAGGCTGAAAAATGAAGAGATGACTGCATGTTCCAACAACTATAGTGACTTGGAAAGAGCAATCTATAAATCAATTATCATCAGTACTAAGATACAAAGCTGACTTCTGCACTAAAAATGCAGACATGTAAGACATTTTTCACAATGTTACTTTCAACAAAGTCTACAACCCTATGTAATTCAGTCTTCAAAATCCATGTAGACAAATAATACAACAAATGACTCAACAGAAACATTCAACAATATCCTGAATGCTAACCTTCCCAGCAGAAGAGAAAACAGAGCAACAGTGCATCTATGCAAAACAATATAGCAGCTAGCACTGCAGATGATAAAAAATTAAAAAATAAGAAAAATAACAGATCTTCAAAACCCTTCCTTTAAAGAAGGCACCTATTCTGGATGGCATAAATTATGCAACAATCAAAATTATTTATAAAAGTTTCTTAGTATTCATTTTAATTTTCTGCATGTTGGCCTCTTCCTCTCTCTTCTTCCCACTAATTTCAAAGTCGAGAATATCATACTCCTTCTTAAACACAACAAAAATCCTAGTAGCCTGGATTCCTACACACCAGCATGCTTGCCAGTGCTAGGGAAAGTATATGAAAAACTTATAATTAATCACCTGAAGCATTATTTACACAAAGCCAATACAATCAAAGAATGTCAATACAGCTTTTGAGAAGGGAAATTTACCACACATGTACTCATGACTGTAAAAACAACATAACGGAAAACAGACACAATGGATACCGCAAAGCCATCCTCAGCCTCTATCTTAACATAGCATTTGATACCTTGTGCTGATCAGCTATTAAACATGCACTCAAACAAGCAAGATACCTAACAAACATATATTAAGCCTTCACCAGTTACCTCTAAAATTGTAAGCAGATTGTCATGCATAACAATGGCATCATATAACACAGACAGACAAGAAGATGCCCACAAGGATTGCACACTGGTCGAGTCTTGTGGAATCTCACTTTAAATAGCTTATTAACAACTACCTGGCTTGAGCACACACAAGTAGAGCTCATGCAGACAACCTTTATTGTCCGACAGGAAATTCCAGAAGCGATTTGAAGACGCATGGAACTCAAAACTTTTCAGTAGTTCTCTGATCTCCGAAATGCCTTGAAGTTGGCCATCTCAGAAGGCAAATGCAAGGCCCTTATCATTCCTAAAAAGGAAGTCAAGAGCAATATTAGTCCAGGAATCACCACCATCAACAATAGCAGGGTCTAAACCTTGATTGGTTTAAATTCTCCACACTAAGGAACTTGAGAAATGTACTACATATATTATGAAAAATTCCAAAAGTGTCAAGAAAACAATTGGGGGACTAGTTTTATGCATTCAAAAGACTCTTTACTCAACTGTCATAGTAAGGATGGGCCCAACAGATCCAGCTGGAAATGTAAAACATCTTTTCAGTGTCCAGCACCCATTCACGATACACATCAGAAGCACATTTTGCACCACAGCAACTGCATCGGTTACTGTCTTCATAGGTCTATTACCAATGCATATTCGTGTAAAGCAAGAAGCAGTAATCCAATCAGTATCTCATCTTCACATTCATACAAACTTCTTCAATAAGTAGCATTACTGAAAGAATTATGATATGCCAGCAATGATGCTACACGTTCATTCAGCACTTTAAACGGCAAGGTGTAAACATACATCTGCACAACACCCCCAGCAACAGTACTCGACTATATATACGAATAGCTCATGCATGGAAGACAAAGTTGGCAGCATACTAATTCTTTGGAATAGAGAAGAAACCTTGCACTTATGGAAGCAGTGACTAAGCAATAACAACATAGTGTTTCAGGCAGAAGAAATAATTATTTTCAGAGCTATCCAGTATATTATTCAACGAAACCTACCAGACATCACCACCCACACAGACAGCACATCAGTATATATTCAGCCATCATCACACATTCCTTACAGTTATGAAAATCCAGAGACTTAATGAAGCATCAATATTATGACATCGCATTCTTCAGAATGAAAGTGCATGCTGGGGGTAGGGAACGAAATTACTGACAGTTTAGCTAAAGAAGCAACATCAGGAAGTATTCATTACCCACAACCAGCACTTTGGCCATGTTCATACTTAAAGAAACAATTGAAACACAAGGCATAAATTCAAATGGCAAATAGAGAAGGATGAATGTGAAAAGGCTATTACATATCTACAACATCATCCAAACATATGACAAATGCAGCAAAACTTCCCCCACAATTAATAAGATTTATTGCAAAAATTGGTTCCCATCCTGTGTACTTTAACAAACATGGTGTCAGAAAAACCCACCTTTGTGAGGCATCCCAGACAATGATCTTATATTTGCCCTCTTACTAAAACCAACGTCCTTTGGTATCAAGGATTACCCAGATTATTGACAAGCCTCCAAAACTGGCCTGGCCTGTGTCTCGTCATATAATTTTATTTGTTTATTTATTTATTTTTAAATAGGAAATTTATTTTAAAACAGGCCTAGATTCAGAATTTAATATTCACTCAGCCTGCTTCTAGAAGTTTAATCTTCTACACTACTAATGTTATTGAATTTCTACTACAGTACAAAGTATTTAATCCGGAATGATCTATAACGCATGCACATATGCGTTTACACATGCGCATAATACGCTTACGCATGCGTGTTTAATGTATAATG